GTGATGCTGGCCACACTTCATATATATTCATTAGTAAACCTGAGCATGGATGAGTGTGAGACTCTGTGGGTGTAAAAGGATAGCAATGACCATACTGACACTTTCTATCATCCTTTATCAAATAAGTCTATAGTGTTTTTAAACTCAAACCTATATTTACATATGTAATTTTGTGTTATATTATTGACAGTAATTTTTAAGGAGAGCATGAATTACCAGAGTGCAATCACTGCTTGACTGGTATGTCATTAATAAATTTTAAACTATATTTTACTCATGGGTCTGAAGGAGCCATTCTTCTGAGGTTTCTTGGTCTCATTAATAATAGTTAGATGGGTATTACTATTACTATTTTTTCTTGATGATATAAAATGAAAGGAGCACCAAGGACTTATTTCTCTGGAGTAATTAGGGGAACATAGAGATGGATGAGAATTTACTCCCTCTCTGAAGATCTGTTTAATCTGCCTATACTTACAAGGCTCAAAAATGTATCTACTCCCTTACTATTCCACTGCTATCCCTTATAAGATTTCCAGTAGCAAAAGCTGACTCTAAGGAAATAAGAACAGGAAGAGTAATCTCCTCTTAGGGGCTTCATTAATTATTATGACAGTTTCCAAAAAGGGAAAAGATGTCATTTTTTAAAAAAGAAAAAGCTTCCTTCCTCCCCTTTAGAACCAGTTTTTTAAAAAAGATGATACATTGTAAATCAGCCTTTCCTTCTTTTATAAATAATTCAGAAGAGCAAACTAAAACACTTGGCTGCCTCAGTACCTAGAAACACAGTGATGTACTATTTGGAGACTTCCTTTTAAAAATATTGTACTCAGGAAGAAAGTCTGAGGTCTATGAACGTCTTGTATATAACATTCTATAAAACAGGTTCTACAGCATCCATTCTCTCCATATCAAATTCCTCTATAATTTCACCCATCTTCTTTTCCTTCTCTCCTGTCTCAATAAAGAATTTATTACAACCTCTCTTACTTCCTCTGAGCCTATATTCCAGGCCTATATTCTGGTTCTTTCCTCTTTGCTTATAAACATGATCAAGGCTCTTTCATACTAAAAATAACCTCCCTTGACTTTGCTATCTCCTCGACTTAGCCATCTTATGCTTTCCTACCTCTGCATCCCTATTAATGTCATTCCCTTCTGAAATGTATTCTACCCTCCCTCCTCCTGCCTCCAACCAGCTGTGATTTCTCCTTCCTGTAAATTCTCTCAACACTTTATATAACATTTACAACATTTTGCCACTGTACTTGCTTGAATACATGTATTAACTGTCTGATTATACTGTAAGGTCCCGGCAGGGAGGAACTCTCTTGTGCATTTTTGTAACCCCTAGTGTCTACCACAGTTCATTAAACTTAGTAGAAGCTCAATATCTGTTGAGTTAATGAATAAATAACATGGTGTGAAGAAGAGAAGCTTATACCTTCTTCCTGAATATGAAACAAGGAGGGCAACATTGTTGATTAGGAGTTCTCCATTACTCTTGCATAGGAATGACTAAGGTACAGATTCAAACTGTAGAATATGGAATTTGGGTTGAATGTGAGATATCTTCCAGTATTGGCCTAGGAAATGGAAGAAGTTATCCAATTAAATTCAAGTAATTCCACAAACATTTATTAAGCATCTGACGTGTAGAAGACAGGGCAGCTAGGTGGCCTGGAATCAGGAAGACTCATCTTCATAAGTTTAAATCTGACCTCAGACACCTACTAGCTGTGTGACCCTGGGCAAGTCACTTAATACTGTTTGCCTCCATTTCCTCATCTGTAAAATGAGCTGGAGAAGGGAATGGCAAACCACTCTAGTATCTTTGCCAAGAAAACCCCAAATAGGATCACAAAGAGTCAGACAGGACTGAAATAACTGAACAACAACACTTATACATTTGGGCATCTCTCTAGTACAGTGGGTCCTTTTTAGTGACTTGGGAACCCTTTAGGAGTTGTTGACAAAACTCCAAGTGGCTTGAGCTAAAAATTATTTTTAGGGCAGCTAGGTGACACAGTGGATTGGGTTCCAGGCCTGAAGTCAGAAGACTCACCTTCATGAGTTGAAATCTGGCCTAAGACACTTACTTGCTGTGTGACCTTAGGCAAGTCACTTAATCCTATTTGTCTCAGTTCCTCATCTGTAAAATGAGCTGATGAAAGAAATGGCAAATTATGGATATTACCGGTATCTTTGCCAAGAAAACACTGAGTGGGGTCACAAGGAGTCGGACACAACTGAAAATGACTAAATAACAACAACAATATACAAAAGACACTGTATTAAGTGCTACGTGTACAAACACAAAAATAAGAGGCCCTGTTCTCAAAGACTTTCAATCATACTGATGATTTTTTTAGTTTTATTTCATACATGGTCTTGAAAAGCTAAACTAAAACTAGGTTTTGCTATTTTTCCAACTGGAAACATACTGTTGGAATTACATCTGTTTAGTAATTGTATTTGGGAGATAAAACATCACAATATGTATTGTTGTTATAAATGTAGTACCTACTGGCATTATACCTTCACAGAAATAGTGAACGTGGATTTTAAATCATACTCTGATAGTTCTTTTAGGTAGTCACCATAGTAAGTAGTATTTGATCTAAGTAGTATGTAGTATAGCCCAGAAGAATTTGCTTTATACTTTCCTTTCACTGAATTATTATTTTTGCCTAAGCCTGAGGAAATGATTCAGAGAAAAAGACTTGCAGATTCTGGCACAGAAATGGACTGCCTCTTCTCTATCTGGGATCACAATGATCCTCTTTTATGAGAGAAACAGAAAAAGGACAAAAAGGATGGTGTCTCTGTTCTGTTCTCTTTCTCCTCTCCTATGATACTACAGTCAAAGAATAAATCATAGAAACAATCAATAATTTCATTAAAGTTAATGACAACAAGAAGACAAATACCAAAATTTGTGGGATGCAACCAATGCAGTACTTAGGAGAAAATTTACATCCTAAAATACTTACATCAGCAAAAGAAATAAAGAACAGATCAATGAATGGGCATGTAATTAAAAAAAAAACTAGAAAAGAACAAATTAAAAGTTTCCAATTAAATACCAAAACAGAAATCTCAAAAATCAAAGGAGAGATTAATAAAAGTGAAAGTAAAACAAAACCATTAAATTAATAAATTAGGAGCTAGTTTCATGACAAAAAATCAATAAAATAGGTAAACCACTGGTTAATATGATTTTCAAAAAGGATGAAAATTATCAGTACCAAAAATGAAAAAACTGAATGCAATCAAGATGAAATTAAAGCAATAATTATAAGCTATTTTGCCCAATAATATGCCAATAGAAATGACAATCCAAGTGAAATGGATGAATATTTAAAAATATAAATTTCCCAGATTAACAGAAAAAGAAAGAGAATATTTAAATAACCTTAGCTTAGAAAAAGAAAGGAGCCATAAATGAGCTCCTTAAGAGAAAAATTCCCAGAACCGTATGGATTTACAAGTGAATTGTACCAAACATTTAAAAAACAATTAATTCTAATACTATATAAGCTACTTGAAAAAAACAGGCAAAGAAAGATTCCTACTAAATTCTACATAAATACAGTTTGATACCTAAATGAGGGAAAACAAAAATATAGAAAGAAAACTATAGGCCAATTTCCCTAATGAATGTTGATGCAAAAAATTTTAAATGAAATATTAGCAAGGAGATTATAGCAATGTATCACAAAGATTATATAACAACCAGGTGGAATTTATACCAGGAATTAGGGCTGGTTCAATATTAGGAAAACTATAAGCATAACTGACCATATCAATAACGAAAACAACAAATTATATGATTATATCAATAGATGCATAAAAGGTTTTTGACAAAATAAAATACTCATTCCTATTAAAAACACTAGAATGTTTCTAGATTAGCACAACAGAAATGGAGCTTTTCTTAAAAGGATAAGTAAAATCCACCCAAAACCAAGAGCAACCATTATCTGTAATGGGGATAAACTAGGAGTCTTTGCAATAAGATCAAAGGTGAAGGAAGAATGCCATTATCAGCAGTATTATTCAATATTGTACTAGAAATGCTAGCTATAGCAATAAGACAAGAAAATGAGAAAAAAATATGTACAAAAATGTACAAAAATATTTATAGTAGCTCTTTTTATGGTGGCAACGAATTGGAAATTAAGTGGATGCCAATCAACTGGGGAACGGCTGAAAAAGTTGTGGCATATGATATGATGGAATACTACTGTCTTATAAGGAATAAGAAGGGGGAGCAGCTAGGCGGTACAACGGATAGAGTACCGGCCCTGGAGTCAGGAGGACCTGAGTTCAAATCCTGCCTCAGACACTTGATTGACACTTACTAGCTGTGAGACCCTGAGCAAGTCACTTAACCCCATTACCTAGCCAAAAAACAAAAACAAACAAACAAACAAAAAGAAATAGCAAGAGGGATGGCTTTAGGAAAATGTAGGAAGATTTATATGAACTGATGCAAAGTGAACAGAACTAGAACACTGTGCACAGTAACAACAATATTGTAATGATGATCAACTGTGAAAGACTTACCAACTTTGATAAATATAATGAACCAAGACAGTTCCAAAGGACTCGTGACGAAAATGCTATCCACCTCCAGAGAACCGATGAACTCTAAGAACAAATACTTTTTTTGCTTTCTTTACCTTTCTCGCATTTTTTTGGCAACATGGCTAATATGGAAATATGTTTTGTATGATTTCACATGTATAAATGGTAATATATTGCTTACCTTCTCAATGGGTGGGGAAGGGATTGGAGAGAAGGGGAGAATTTTGAACTCAAAATTTTAAAAAATTAATGCTAAAAATAAATAAGTGAACAAATGAATTAATTATTTAGTTAATGGTCTGAAGAGTAGACATGGGTAAAAATCCTTGGGGTTTGGATGTTTCAGCATGATGGCCAATGATCCAAGTACTACCACTGATAGATACAGTAGTGATTTGATAAAGGGTTACCTTGAATTTTTTTTCTTTTTCCTGAACAACAGCATGGATGATGAAGATTGAACTGCAAAGGAAGCTCAGCATGATCAACATGGAAAAATTGTCCTCTAAGATTGAAATGAATGGGTCCTGAATGTAAGATGGAAACGGGAATCTCTTCATAGTAATGCTGATTTTCTCATACTGCTGAGTCATAGAGTGATTCATGTGGTAATACATGATTTCTCTGTTGACAGCATGTTGCAGAGACAGAAACCCTTCTCGGAAATATTCTAAATGAAAAAGCAAAGGACACTAAGCACAACAGATTGAGAAACACCACAGATGAACATCAACTGATGAATTAGGGAAGTCAGACCTGCCCACTCACAGAATTAGATGAATTAAGTCATGAAAGACATTCCCACAGTGCTCAGTCTGAGGGATGGCAGAAAGCTACAGAAGTGGCCAGTGTAATAGCTCCTCTTAAATATCCATCCCTATGGCCCTGCTAATTTCAGGGCCTTCTGAAATTTAATGCTCCCTCTGGATATAGTCTGTAAGTACATAGAGACAAATGTCAATGAAAAGGAACTTCTCTTGATATTAACAGAATCTATATAAATTTAACTTAATTGAGATGAGGTAATACAATAAGACACCATGGAAAAGATCAATGCTGTTGCCACTGCAGAAGTAATTGCCATAAAGGTAGCTCCTGAGTACTGGGACAAGTCCTTAATTAATCTTAATAGTAAGCCTATCCTGTTAAGTTTCTACATTTTCCCATATAAACAGAGTCCTAAATCCCATTGATATGGGACTCTCATCTCATTAGTGGAGAAGGGACTCTCTCCTCCCTGCAGCTGCATAAGGGGAAGGGTGCTGATCTCCACCAATAAGGAGGGTTTTGGGATGTGGGTTACACCCACTTCCCTGCTTAACTATTTTATCTTTGAATGCAGAATATTTAAAAAGTGAATACCAAGAAAATATTTACATTCCCACTAGGTAAAAGGGACTAGGATTAGCAATACTTCACTCTGTGAAAGGAAGAAGAGACATCTGAGGTCACTTTTCTTTGAAATACAAGAGAAGTACTGAGATTCAGATAATAAAACATTAACAAATTATCAGAGCTACTTAAGTGTAATATAATGGTAGCTATCTTTATGTGAAATGGTGTGTGTGTGTGTGTGTGTGTTTGTGAGAGAAAGAAAGAGAAAATGAGAGAGTGTATTTATTATTATCCCCATTTTATAGATGAAGAAACTGAGACTGACAGGAATTAGCTGATTTTCCCAGTCACACTGGGCAGTTAATAAGTAACTGAAGCAGAATTTGAACCAAGGTCTTCCTGTCTCCAAGGCTAGCACTCACACACTCTGTGAGTGTGTGTATGTATGTGTGTGTGTGTGTACATGTATGTTTATAGAGAGGTAGCATGGATAGAATTGGAGAAGCTTCTACATCTGGGAGTTATCCATACCAGTGAAATGACAGGTTCAGTTGCTATCCCTGTGGATGTGTGTATACACGCATACATATGTATGTACACATGTTTGTATATATTGATACAGGGCAGAGAGGTGGCAGAGTGGATAGTGTAATGGGCCTAAAATTAGGTGGACTCATCTTCATGAGTTCAAATCTACAGTTTCCTCATCTGTAAAATGAGCTGGAGAAGGAAATGGCAAACTACTCCAGTATCTTTGCCAAGAAAACCCCAAATAGGATCACAAAGAGTTGGACACAACTGAAATGAGTGAACAACAACAATACATAAATATGTGTATATATCTATCTATCAACATACATATGACTCTGGGAACTTTGAGAGTGTTATTCCCTATAACCGACATTAGAAATGCAACCCTGATATTGAATCATCCTTCCTGATATAAGGACCTGGATACAGTTTGGAGGGTGTCTCACATAAAATCTCTCTGACTTACACTCCCAGCCATGGAAACCCTAGGAACTTAAATATCTAGCTTATTTTGTTTCCCAAAAAGAGAAAAAAAATTTATTTATACAACAAAAATATGGAAAGAACTCTTATCCAAGACCACAGACAGTCAAGAAAATTTTATTTCCTATTTTTCAGGAATCTATATAGTCCTTGTGAATTATAACACTGCCCTATGACTGATCTTTAGAAAAAGAACTTTCCCACTGGGGACATACCTGGTCTACACAACACACAGTATCAATGAAAGGCAAGCCCTGAGATTGCTCCTCATCATATTTCTGCACCTAGACTGAAGCCCTTATTCTGGTACTTAGTTTTATGGTTCCCTAATATACTAATTTCTCTCTTCCACTTTGGCATTATATCACTATGCTACCAATTCAGCATCTATATATGGTACTCCTTCCCTTCAAAAGCCATAAAAATATGACACAGGTCTCTCTTCAGATCCATGTGTGTTCTTAACATCTGTACTAACTCCTGTCTACATCTGGACTGTTCTCAATTGTGTCTCCTCTTCAGAGGTCCACGATATCCCTCTAATATGGGAGCAGTTCCTTTCTTGCAATGTACTTTAGGAATCAATCACACAAAAGGGGAGAATGGCTTTTACCTGACTACTCTTTACAAATGAATGACCATTTCTCCCCCAACCCTGTTAAAAAAAATTTAAGTCCTGGGTGAGCTAGGTGGCTCAGTGGATAAAGCACTGGTCCCAGAGTCAGGAGGATCTGAGTTCAAATCCAGCCTGATACACTAGCTGTGTGACCCTGGGCAAGTTACTTACTTGCCTCAAAAAAAAAATTTAAGTTCTTGCAAGTTACACTAGACGTATATATACTACCTCCAAGTGTACATTATGTAATAGCCATGAGACACACATTGCAGGTGATAAGATTAAATTGATTACTGTATCATTTTTTATTGATCCTATTTATAGTTACAAGTTTAGAAATCCAGTTCTGCTCATCATTGTTCTATTCTTGCCTCAAAGAAATCTGCTATCCTTGAGGAAAGCAGGAGGACATCAGGCAGTCTGGTCCAGCATCTGCACATCAGGCAGTCTGGTCCACTATCTCTGACCTTGGGGGTGGACTCAAACAATGAACACTCCTTAGTCACAGGAGCAAAGCAAGGAGCTGTTGCTAGTCCCTCATTCCCAAATTCCAACTAATCATCTTGTTCCCCATGCTTCAGCGATGTAACCAACCATGTTGTCCTCAACCCCATGATGTCACCAACCCTACATCCAACCGTGTTATTTCCCCACTTACTCTGTTCTGTTCTTTGTTCCGTACTCCCCAAAAACTATAAAAATGGAGCTGTCCTATTTGGGGTCTTTGGCTTAGAAACTGAGGCAGCCGTGCACCCACTCTATTGTAGGTTCATGCTCTAATAAACTGTTATCTTGCTCAATGAAATTTGCCTCAGTCTACCTTTGTTGAGTTTTACTCCTGACATAGCCACATATGGTTAATTCTTTACATATTCTATTATCTGTGTACCATCTTGCTCCAAACGACATACACTGTCATGCATCAGCAAATATAAGGGGGCTATTCAGATAACATTCTTGCTCATCATCCCCAGGACAGCACAGTTGATGAGAGACTGGTTGGATAATCTCAGCAAAAGGTGATTAAGTGCAACTTCTGAATTCCTGGCCTCCCTATATCTTTGGTTCCAATAGCCTAATATCCCAATTATGAGGCTGTGAAGTGACAAAGTAGGGGTATATCCATTCCTTAAGGAACCAGGTCCACCAATAGATGGTCTCTGCTCCCTGAACACCTCCAAAACTGTGTACTGGTAAGCAAGGGGGAGGATTCCAGATCTAGCTCCTCTTCCATATTGGCAGGACACTGAGATAGCCCTGGTATCCTTTCTTATTCCCAAATGATATATCCAAACTTGGCTCCCTTATTATTTAAATTTTGACCTAGATCCTCCCTTTATGAGAAGTTCTTTGGTGCCAGTTGTCCAAGGGTTTATAACATACAGGGCTCTGATGAGACCCAGTTCTTCAATTCTCCCATGTTCCTGTCCATGTATTTAAAAAGCAGCCTAATGAGCTCTCCTATGGACATTGTCTTTATGGGATGCATACCATTTTCTGCAGTAATTTTGTAGACCAGAACAATAGCTGGTCTTGGCATCACTTAATACTGGACAGTTCATTATATTATGTTTTCAAGAGACCGCAAGATTTCATAGGTGGATTCTATTCCCTTCCTAGAGCTCTGGACAGCAAAGTTAAGCACTAAACTAGTGCTTATTCTTTTCCACACTCTTCTAATTTCTCAGTAGAGTGAATTATTGGTCATGATCTTTTTTATCCTTAAGAGAATCCAAAGACTCAGAAGTTATCTGTAACCAATGTTCCAACATCAACATGTATGGAGTAAAGCCTGTGGCATCTTTTTTGGTGGCATTACACGCATGTTCTAAAAATGTCATGTAGTAACTCCACTGAGTCATTTATTTAGGCTTCAGTGTTCCAAGTATATAAGATATGATACAATTAGTACACTCTAGTTGTGGGTCTCCCTTAGGAGACCTAAGGATGATCTGGTGTATATAGGTTAGGACTTCTAAGCTCCTTAAGCACAAAAATCTCAATGCTGATAATGATGAATACAGGAAGGGAAATCACACACAGAGAAATCACTCTCTTATAACATTTTGGTATTTAGACAGGAAGTGTGGTAGAGTAGCTAAGAGTCATGAGTACTTTGGTTGAAGTCCCGAGTCTGGCACGTACTAGCCATGCAAACACAAGCAGGTTACTTAACCACTCAGTATCCCCACGCAACTCTCAAAGACAGAAGTTTTTAACATGGATTCATGAATGTGTAGCTTAATGACATTTTTGTAACCCAGGTTCAAACCTGTGTCATTTACAAAAGATACTCTTCATTAGTGGAGAGAACGATTACATGATACTATGTGAAGGGTAGAGTTGGCCTGAATTTGGAAGAGGAGAGACCTACTTAATTCTAGTGCCTGTGTTCTGTTGATCATCTCCAATTTTTCATACACACACACACACACACACACACACACACACACACACACACGCACACATACAGACACTTATGTACATACCCAGACAATATATACACACACATATAAAAGTCTCTCTGAAAAACTCTGGAATCAATTGTGAGATATGGGAGACACAAGCACAGGACCACCCAGACTGCAATAAAGAAGACACTGTGCTCTATAAGCAAAACAGAACTGCAATAGCCCAAAATAAACATGAGATGTATAAATTTAGAGACATCTCCATTCTAAATGTTCACGTGGACTATTTGGGCT